ATTCTGTGATTCTGTGATTCTTATACAATCTAGTCCCAATTCTGATCAGAATTGCTGTACTATAAATTTAGACATGTTAAATAAAAACAGGATAATAATTCTGTATGTAATTTCACTTGTACTTACCTCATCTTCTGCCGCCATGTCTCCTTAGGATGTAGACTGCTATCACTATATTATTATTAGGGTTTTACCTGTATTTCTAATGCTTGCAATTACGAATATCTCACATTTCACAACTAGCCACTGTGTATTTTGACCTTACTACCTAGTACATATACATCTGTAATGTAAAATCTGTATTTCTTAGGTGCTTTTCAATGTTTCGGTTACAATGAAAGGATGTCATGCAACTGGAGGAAGAAGATACGCAATACTTAAGCCTATTGGTTTCAATGAAACTACCATCGTTAATATACATAAAAACTGTGCCTGTCAGTGTGGAGATAGTGCAAGGCACAAAAGGGTTTGTGCGGATGAAACTTTCCCTGATGGTGAGCAATCCCGTTGCAGTGACACTAGCTGTAATTCCAGCAGAGATACATTTCCTTCTGAGAGGTGCAGACAATACCARGAGCAGCCCATCTGCAGTGGTCAAGGAGACTGCATAGATGGAAAATGTTTCTGTTACAAAAATAAGCTGGGCAAGGTGTATGGCAAGTACTGTGAACTGGATGATTTTTCCTGCCCTTATCACCATGGAAATTTGTGTTCTGGTAAGCTGCAGAATTTAAGTCTGTGTTTTGTTTTGTTTTGTTTCTCAACCTTATAKTATATATGTTAACAATAACATTATCTTGAATAAGACAGTCATATTATTCCAGAAAACAAACTGATACATTTCAGTCTTATTGGGTACATAGATATTGGAAATTATGAGGACTCTCAATATCCAAATGAGATTCTGATTTCTTTAACCTAATTTATCCTAAATCTCGTCAGAGATATATTAACACTTGATTTCAAATACTAAAATACATGTTAACACTGTCCAGAATGCCTGCTCCAATTAATGAACAGTGTAAATGGCACAAATCCTTATTGCTTTTGTAGTCCATTTCTTATTCATAAACAGAAGTGTGTGTGAAAGAAGTACTAAACATGTACTTTTCAGTTAATATTGCTAGGAAAAGAGAAATTAAATCTAACTAAATTCTAAATGTAATATAAATCTAACTGAATTGTTACTGAATTTCTATCTTTTTTTTTTTCATTTGGAAGTATTTTTAAAGCATTTTGAAATCTCCTGCTGTTCTGCATYACTGTATTTACCAAGGAGTAAATTGGGGAACAGATTCTTAGCTTCGGTAGGATAAATGTGGGGTAATGCTATTGACCCTAGTAGAGTTGTTTTGGTTTTGCCCTGCTTGTTGCTATGATCTTTGAGTGGAAGGAAGAGAAATGATGTTACATAGGCCTTTAAATACTTTATTACAGCACAGAGAGTCTGTGTTCTCACTCTGCATTGCCACCCCCAACTAGATTTGCAAATTTGACATTTCTTAACATAAGCAGACTTTTCAAATATATAAACTGCCAAAACCTGAAAGGTGGTGCCTGGGTCAGAGGAAGAGGCAGGGGGATCCGTGTCGAAGGTGCCCTGGAAATTCTCATGCCTGGTGTAGTCCTGCCTAGCAGAAGCACAAGGGGAACCTGTGCCACAGCTGAACCATGTGCCTCTCAGTGGGATGTTTTTCAGTGGAGAACTTTGCTATGAAATGTTCTGTAAGGCTTTTCCTCCCCAGCCAAATAAGGGAGTGGCCCACAGTTTGGCTTCAATCTTGTTTAGGGGACCCTATGTATTATATGCAACTTTCCTATCTGCTGCTGGCCTGTAAATCCCTGGAGCACAAGAAAGATCATGAGACTGCATGTGAAATTTAAGTATTGCCAAGGCAGAGGTGGAGGCCTCATGAGGTTTGCTAGATCTGCATATGCTTTATGTCCTATTCCTGTACTTCCTGAAAGCGCTTTCCCATCCTGTGAAAAATGTGTATAAGCACTGTCAGCCTGTCACTTGTACACCTGGTAAATGTAGTACAACATGGAAAACATACGGACTTTTCCCTAAAATTCCCACTGCTTTGCCTGGAAAAATTAAGAGGCCGCCAGGGATTTTTCATAGCCTTTAAATGCTTGAGGCTGTACGTTTGAAATGCTTAATAACCTACACTTCATAAATCCAACTCTTACACAATGTTCAATCTTCTTCCGTTTAGAACCGGAGAAAGGTAATGTTATAAGACATGTTCCTGAAAAGAAAAAGTAATCCAAACTAGCATGTGCACAATAATTTGAAACTCCTTCCTCCTCAAATCTTGTGGTGTATTTGAATTGGATGCTTTCTTCCTAATGAGGAGAGCTTTGTTTAGTTTGCTTCAAGCTTGTTTTCCTGGTGGTTGTGTAATTTTTAATCCCAGCTACTTTGATGCAAGAGAAACTGGGAAAATTCTAGTAAAACATTTTATGATGAGWTAAGGTAACAGCTTTTGCTCAAATTAGCAACAAGCAGCAGGCATAAATATATGTCATTCTGGAGCTTTCAGCCTGAAACGGTAAGACTTAAAAACATATTAGCCAGCCAAAGTCTCAGTTAGCTCTGTTACTCCATACTCTAGCAATAATGATGCAAATGTATGCCTATAAAAATTGCCTTTTAATGTTTTCATAAAACATATGATTAAAGATTGTCTGTTGTTGCAGGTAATGGTGAATGTGAAGCTGGTAAGTGTAGATGCTTTGCTGGCTGGGAAGGTGACCGTTGCCAATGCTCATCACAATCAGCAAAACACTGCCTGAATTCAAAGGGCCAGATTTGCAGTGGAAGAGGAAATTGCATATGTGGAAAGTGTGAATGCACTGATCCAAGAAGCTTTGGCCGTTTGTGTGAATATTGYCCAACCTGTAACAGTGCCTGTGAAGAAAACTGGTATGTTTCTTGTGTTAAACTTTTTTACTATATACTATATTCAAAGATAAGTATTTCTGGTAGGCTAAATGCATGCTGTATTTCTTAGATGTTTAGCCTGTCTGAAATTGAAACAGAATTCCTACTTGAGAGCTTTTTCTTTGTATTGGAGGAGTTTGCACTAGCAATTAAGAGAAATGCATGTCTATGTGTATTCACCAGTCTGTGTTCAACTTTCAGGTTTATACAGGTAAAAGAAGTGTGTCATAGGAAGATGGCGTTTTGACGTTAGAGTCTTATTATTTATATTATAGTTCTTTATACATTTTTTTGAGTAGGAAATAAAATTTATAATTTGGAAGTTTTAAAGGGAAACACCAAATCCTACCCTTACCTGCTGCAAAGTCCAAAAATATTTTCCATATGTGTTTTTGCATACAAGTCATTCATGATTCCACTCTTGTGCTGYCCCTAAATGAAGCAAGGAGGTTTGGAATAAGAGTGATGCCTGCTTATTGCCTCTCCAGTGGGTCAGCAGAGCAGACCTGGTCTTACCTAGAGAACAGCATCTATTACTTGTAAATCACTGAGTCTTTGCTGTGCTAGTTTTAAAGTGCATAATTTTTCTTTATTCCTGACCAGGAAGAGGCAATGTGGAGGCTGAAGTCAGCAGCCAGGGAAGTTCAGACTGCTCCGTCAGTGGCCCACTGACTGATTTAGTCAGTCACTGACTGACACCTGAAACACTCTTTCTGGGCACAGGTCTTCGAGGCCCACTTATGAGTGYACATAGCTTTCTGAACCTCACTGTGGTTGAGAAGGTGAAAGGACAGCATGATCAAAATTGAATTATTTTTTAGTACTCAGTTGAATAGTTGAATTACAGTTCATCTGAGAAGTATACTTGGGGAGAAAAGCTGGACCTGGTCTAAAAGGTAACTGCCAAAACTTCACTAGATAAAATGCATTTAGGCTTGCTAATCTAACTTGTTCAAAGTCACTGAAAACTATGTGTCTTTAATAAATTCAAAAGATGGCATAGTTTTATTAAAAGTTCGGTCAAGGGTTTTTCAAAATCATTTTAAATGTCCATCTTCTGCAGAGCTAAAAGACTGGAGTCTGACAGTTTGAAGAAGAGATGGGTTCGTAGCCTCACCGCTTGAAAAACACCTATCACAAAACACAGCAGGGGCCAGATGAAGATAGCTTTGGTTGCAAAGATATCTGAGTTATTTTGCTACTTTTCATTAATTAGCTTTGAAAAGTATCACAGGGAGAAAAAAAGAGGGGAAAACAAAAAGAGGGATTTTAGAAAAAATAAATGTTGCAGTGTTTTTACTAACAATAGGAAAAGAGTATTTAAAAATGATACCTCAGTCTCTTGGTACAATCTTTTCTAGGGAAGTGCAGATAAAGATAAAGGGTTTTAAAGAGATTTTTCTTTTACAGGAATTGTCTTCAATGCCATCATTCTAACAATGCATCTCAAGCTATACTTGACCAGTGTAAAACCTCATGCACTTACATGTTGCATTATATTGATCAAACTTCAGGTATGTGACATCTTCTAGCTAATTTTAGTAAGAGAGGAAAATCTGTAAGGATTAATAACGGAATTCACCACTGCTTTTCAAAAGGATGTTAGTAATATTACAATAACAAAGAAAGCAGGAAAAAGAATAAAACCATTCTTAGCTTCAGGGAAAGTGAAAGATAAATAATAACAGGAAATATGATTGCCAAGCATTGCTATGTCAAATTTCCCAGCTYCTAGAGAAGTCACATCTAATAATAATGAATCCTACTGGAGAAATGCTTAAAGAAATATTTATAAAAATTATTATGACATCTCAATGTTTTATTACTTTGGATATGTTTACATTATTTGACATTACTAGAAACAAAGAATAATAAAATAGAATGCTTGCCTCACTTTCAATAATGTTTAAATATGGCTTTCAAGTCACACAACTGTGTATTTATGAGATGAAGTCATTTTTAATAAAATCTCGTAGATGATAATCAGGCCCTGCAATAAGAATGCAGGTATATGTTTATTTTCTATTGGTTGGCATTTTTATATAATTTTTTTTACAGAAGCTCATAAATGATACTATGTATTGGAACTACTAGTGTCATGACCTTAGTATTAATTAGAGGACAGCCTGTTATGTGAGAAAGGAAGCCAGTGAAGAGAACACTAGACAAGGAATCAAGAGAACATATTCTCTGCCAAACTATGTTTGTGATTTGCTCTGTAACTTTGTGAAAATCAAGCTTTTTTGGCCCCTAACTTCTATAGCAGTTTGTTATTTCTTTTTCAGCTATAAAATCATAATTTTATAGATCATTTATGGTGACTACAACAATGAAATTTTAATCTTAGTGCTGTAGACTAAAGAAGTAGTAATGTTTGATCATCTTTTTACAGCTTTTCTTGAAATGTATTACTTTGAAAGTCTGTGTGACAACATGAATTTTTTTCCCTTTTATCAAGACTTTATTTTCATTTAAGTTAACATGAAATGTATTTTAGATTTTAGTTACCTTAAATTAAATGCAATTTAAATTTTAATTAATTTGATAAAGTAGTGTTTAGTGAGAGATGCAGAAGTGTTTTATAGCTCTTCATATTTTAGACTTTACAGTTTGGTTTTCCTTTTGTTGCAGAATGTTTCTCTGGACGAGGCTACTTTAGAATCTTTTCCATAATCTTTATAGTTACATTTCTGATTGGGTTGCTTACTGTACTTATCATCAGGCAGATAATTCTGCAGTGGAATAACAATAAGATTAAATCTTCATCTGATTACAGAGTGTCTACAACAAAGAAGGTAATTGTTTTCAGAGCCATCAAATTCAGTAATTTTGTACCTAAATTTTAGCTAATTATTGATAAAAATTGTATCTTCTCCTTCAAGGATAAGATGTTTTTGCCTACTGTTTGTACAAGAACAGTAACATACAGACGTGACAAACCAGAAGAAATAAATATCGACATCAGCAAGTTACGATTAAATGAAACTTTCAAGTGTGAATTCTGAAGACCGTGTGTTTTCTGGAAATGTCTATTTTCAACTTTTTCTACTTTTTAAAAGTTAYCTTTTGTACTCTGTAAGAGTCTTGACTGTTGCTGTTAGGTTTTGTGTCATGCATTTTGTTGAATACTGTAACAAAGTGCCATGTAAGCATAGTCACATAATGTGACTATGTTTGAAACTATAGCTGCTGTATTTTTTTTGAAAGAGAAATGTGCATTACTACTGTTCCAGAACATTAGTGTTGATGTAGCACTTTAATGTATTCTAATTTATTTAGTTTTGGCATAGAATGTAGATATAAACGTGTCTGACAAAGCACTGATCTCACTCTACATGTAGCTAGTACTGATATGCTCTGTGGGAATGGACAAAAACTGTGACTGAGCTATTAATATTGCTGTATATTGTGGCAATAGGTGAAAATTTAAATACTCTTAAATAGAGTAAATGGTACTTTATAGTTTTCTCAGTTGACTAAATTACATTGATTTGTTTGTTTTAGCCTCTCAGCTTTTCCTCATTACTAAATAAAAATAACTGGATTGAATGAGTGCTAGGTTATACTAATGTGTGTATGTGTAGAAATATACATATTCATACACACACATACAGCTAAATATGTATATAATACAATTTTTAATGTATACACAATGGTGTCACTTATAGTTTATATTTCATAAAGAGATTAATTTTTAGCTTTTTACTTGTTTCAAAATAAAAGCCTCTATAGACATTTTAAGGTATGTGAAAACTGAGTGCATACAGAACATAAGCGAGCTCCTCTTACCAGCAGCATCGTCTACAGAGTAATCCCTGCTGGCTGAATTCACCACTGGAGTGAGCAGCATCAACTCTATTGCAATCAGATAAATTACACCAGAGCTGTGTTTGGTTTGCTAGCTACATGTCAGTGTTTTGCCAAATAAGGGCTCTGTTCTTTATAAATGTCAGAAGTAAGTCAGATTTTTTGTATGTGCTCTTTTTTCCGTATAAAATTAGTTGACAAGATTTTTTTTTGAATCTTTACTTAACCACTTTAATTTTTGTGACTGTGCATTGAGAAGTGTCTAGTGTAGTATGAAAAAGTATCTGCAATTCAAAAGAAGGCACAGAAAATAGAAGTCTTTTTCCTCAAGAGAGTRTGTTAGTTGACTTCATTAATATAAGCTCAAATTCTGCTTTCAGAAATGAGCAAAAATTCTTCTAAATACAGTGGGACCAATGTAAGCTTATCTGAGAGCAGAATTAAGCTACAARGTCAGCCAGATACCTTTTCTTACCCTGAAGGAGGCTTTAGTGCTGCARGACAAGTTACTGCCATTTGATGTTTGGAAGGGTCAACTAGCAGTCTGATTTCACTTATTTTATGCTGCCAAAACTGTAGGAATTCTGATCAATCTTTCTTAAACATGCACTAAGATTTAGCTGTCAAAAAAAATCATCTCAGAAGACAGTATGCAGTATATCATTTTAGCAGTATTTATTACTGGTACTAAATATTGATTTGTACTTGTTACCAGTAAGAGTCACAGAAGCATCTTTCTATGTCATTTCGACAAATATATAAGAATATTAGTATTTCCTATTCTGTGCTTTTCCTGTAGTGTAGATTCCCACTGAAATTTGAGGCGTATACGTGCAAAAAGAAGGCAGGATGTAGAACAGATGATGTTATACAAGAGTTTACAGTGAATTACTTGGGCCAAGGATCAAGTGAGGGATTAAGAAAAACAATATAGAGACTGTAGACTTTCCACTGAATTTTCCTAAAAGCTTTAAGACTTGTTTCTATAAATCTTATAAACTGCACCATTAATTGTTTCTGAAGCAGTCTTCATGGTAGAACCTGAGCTTCTTACCACATGATTAAAACAGTCTCATTTAAAGAAGAGGGGAGTTCTTTACACAGACTCTGATTTCAGTGACAGCCTCACTATCATGTTATTTATAGATTAATTCTATATGAAGAATTATTCTGTATCAACTATATTTTAAACTTTTATTATTTTCAAAACGGAACACCATGGAACAATTTTCTTCCTATGGAAATTTACAGACTCCAGACCATTGTTTCCAGTGGGAATTAGATAAACTATTTGTAAGAAATTACGTATATTGTCCTTGTCACAATTACTATTTTTAAGTAAGTAAGAAACAGGAGACGTGGTTATCTGTTTAGCATAAAAATAACAACAAAAATATTAAAAGCTCAAGTGAAAATATGTGAATGTTTAACAAAAGATGTAGCTATCCTCTTAAAACAATGGGATACCATTTTTTTTAACAAAAAAGATTCCTCAGCATCATGCACGTCTCGTAGCCCTTAGGCCAGTTAATAAAGAGAGAGCTATTGTTTTTCTTTACAATTATTTTTCACTGTTAGATATAAATTGGGGGTGCRGAGAAATGGAGCTGTGTTTGTGGTGGGAGGAAATTCTGAGGTGTAGCACTTTGTCTTTCAGACACCTCACATTACTGCTGTGTTTTCTGTGCTGCGTTGGCACCCAGTGCTGCCTTGCAAAGGGCACAGAGAGCAGTTGGTTGTCACAGCACCTGCCCTGCCTGAGCAGGCTTAGGGACAAACTGCCCTGCAAGCTGCTTGCTGTCCTCAGTGGTTGTTAAGAGAAAAGGAAAAAAAAAAAAAAAAAAAGAGAGAGAGAGAAAGGAAAGGAAATAAAAGAAAAAGGCAGGGGGTGGGGGAGGTTTTTGCATCTCCCTCATTGCTCCACTGCATTGTGGAGGGGGTGATGAGTGGGCTAGTGAGAAAGAATAAGCTGCTGCTAATGTGACAGGTCAAGGCTTTAGAAGGCCCGTGGGGAGCTTATACAGAGCAGAATCCTTGGGAGCAGCTTTGTTTCTATGGATGGAATCTCTCCATGAGAAACTGTGGCTTTACTTGGTACTTGTTTCGCTCTGCCTTTGACCATGTTTTTCAGAAGAGCTGCTGCAGGAGATGAATAGCCCAACAAAAACCTCACTATTTAGGGAGCTGTGTTCCCTCAGCACATGACCTTAAATGAGAAAGCAGCTTGTAATTCACAAGGAATTTGCTCAGCAATTGCAGAATGACTGTGCTTCCTATAGTGCTTAATATGGGAGATATTACAGACAAATTAGTTCATATTAGTTTTCAATGTATTGTGCGTCAAAGATGCTCATAAAAACAGGGGGTGGGAGAGTTTGGTCTCAGAATAGAATGCTCTACATTTCTTAAATAAAACTTTTTATATTAGGCTCCTAGAGAAAAAAGAAAAAGAAAAAGAAAAAGAAAAAGTATAATTTGACCATATGCCTTAGCCCAAAATATACCAACATACAGTATGGTACTTCATCACTGACTTTTTTTTAAGATTTTCATCCCACAAGCCAGGACATTTATATGACTCCTTATAGCAGATTTTTAATGGTAAAAATTGTAGGTATCATTTTCTAATTCTGTTCTTTTTTTTACATTTAACAGTCTGTGTAATATTTCAGAAATGACACATGTTCATACACTTTTAAAAAGTGCTTTCTTGTTCTGTTTTTTTTAAAAACATACAAAACTATGAAACTGGAAATACTATGAACTGATTGTACCCAAATACCATGGACATGTTAAAAACATCAGTACAGATGGGTGTGGGAAAATAGCTGCTTCATCTAGAAAAYGTGCACATGGTATGTGAGGAATTTTCATTGTGCCCAGCTGAAATTCTCTTACATTCACAAGCAATGCTGAAAGTGGACCTTAAAAAAGAAGGACATCTGTATCGGCATAGTTTACGTTTTACCCATTCATTTTTTCCTCTCTATAGTGTCATGAAAATCTGCTATGTGAAGTATTCTTCAGACTACAATAAAAGAAATAGTTTTCCCAGACTGATCAATATAATATTTGCTTTCTGCATAGTGTACATACATAAATGTACATGTGTCACAAACTGCAGGAATGAAGCAGCTTCAGGCCAGCCTTAGTCCTGGAAGCTCTTGAGCATGAGTGATGCCCAAGACTGGGASAGGTACAAGGCAGTGCTGCCTTTGCAAAAGCCTGCAGAGTGACAGCACCTTAAGTAGTCATAATACGTCCAAGAGTATATCTTAGATGCCATCCTTAAAGAGATCATGTTCTGAGGCCATACTTGTTAGGGCAGGAAGCCCTTTGAAAGCAGGCTGATGTGGCAGAGGTGATGCGCTGTCTACCCCAGCTGCTTGGCCAACCCTAGGGAAATGCATCATGTGCAGGCTCTGTTCCTCTGCCACCGAGGTCTTTTGCATCTTTCTGCTCATTGACTGGCCCCTGTCCCAGGATTTGCACTGGCCATAAGTATTGTGAGCTGTAGCTGGGAAAAGACACTTCTCAAATATGAATCTGCTTGGAATTTTACTGGAAAATACCAAGAGATGGAAGCTTGGGGAATTGTTTCCTAATTAAGTAGAATATGGTAAATCAATGCTGAATGAAATGAATGAAACTTACTCTAGTCTAATTACAAATGGAATGTAGTTAGCATGTTCTTGCAGTACATTGGAAATAGAGATTTATGTGGTAAGCAGGAATAGAGCAGTAGTTAGGAAGAACACTACCTTTTAATCATGATCTTGACACTGCTCAATGGACRGAGCTCTCATGGATATTGCAGAGAACTAAAATCAATGGAGAGGAAAAAAAGGTTAAAATTAGCTATCATGAACAAATTTCCAGAGTCACCCAGATCAGTGGGTTTCAGTGAGTGCAAACCAGCTCTGTATGATTGGTCTTTCTGAAAAAAAAAATTAAGACATTCTTAGAAGTGTTGTGTTGGATTGCACTGGATTGCACATTCTCTTTATTTTTTCTGCATCCGCTCCTGAAAAAAAGGTACTTTTTAAAAAAATAATAAAATGTCTGACGCTTGATAAAAAAACGAATTCAACACATCTTAAAGTTTCAAATTGATATCTATTGTGTTTAGGGGCTTTTTCAGTTATATTTTGAAGGGAGAAGGTGAAAGAAGAAAAATTCATTTGGAAAGGCATTAGTGTTGGATAAATCCCCTGTGCTAACATCTTTTTTATTTTTACCTACTACTGCTTCAAAAAGCGAAGCTACTTTAACATGTCTTATTTAGCAATGGTGTGACAACTATCAATAATACTACATATTTTGTTTTTTAGTTTCTATTTAACATATACTACCTTTTGTAAAAATATGCAGATAAATAATATTTCTCTAGATTTTATGCATAGAGAATGTTAGTAAGGGAAGAGGTTTTAAATGTGTAACTTTTTGCTGTTCTTTTTCCCTTTTTAAATGATACTTTTAAATCACTACTTTTTTTCTGGAAATATACTGAATATTTTATTATTTAAAATAGTATACTTTTATAGCTGTTTATTAATTTTTGGTTGACTACTAACTTCTATTTTGAATATTTATTAATGATTTGACACTGTAGTATATTGAGATGTTTATTTTTCTATCAGAGCTGTAACAATTATGACATGGCATTATTTTAATGCAGCATCATTGTACTTGCTCTCTAAAAAATAAAATCAATATTTAATCCATGTGGAATTTTCATATTTTTAGTGTGTGGTATACCTGTGCTAATTTAAGATGTTTGCCTCTTTTTTATCATATAAAGCTGTTTCATTAAGGTGTATAAATATGTTCAGAAAAATAAGTATATGATTACAGTGGTTTTAAAGTGAAATAAGACTATCAGGAGAAATGAATCAAAATATAAAAAAAGTACTAGGTTTATCAGATATCAGTAAGCAGATGAATACATGCTCAGGACAAACTTTCAAAATAGGCTAAGAAATAGCAGTGAATATTTTGATACAGTGAGCACTTTGACAGTTGACACAATCATGCACCTTGTAAGGTACAAGRTCTTACAGAAATATTCTGTGAATTCATAGGTCATCTTTCTTCTGCCAGTGCTTTCAGAAYGGGTAAATTTCTGAGCAGATATCTGTGCCTCCTGCTGCAGCCTTACATTGATGTGTACAGGTGAAAAAACATCAGTAAATGTGGAAGGTGCCTTCATTCTGCTCTTGTGTAGAATCAGTCGCAGCTGTTGCATTACAAAGAAATGCCATGAAATTTTGATGTACCAATTACAGTGTGTCAGACATTCACAGTTTGTGTTTTAAAAACGTGATGCATCACTAAGAGACGACTGGCACTAGGAATGTGCCCCACTTTCTCAATCCTAAATGATGTTGCTTACAACGCTATCTATTCAGTTTGCTGTGGAAGAGGGAAGTTCATTTTTTTAACATGATCTAGATTTTGTCATGGGGATAAGAAAATCAAGTGACAACTGTTATATGTGCAATCAATAAGTCACTTAGTCTTYAGAATTATTATAAAAGTACAATAGAAAAACCTAGGAAAAGAGGCACTGCATAGCAGAAAAAAATAAATAAATATTACAACTACAGCCTGTGCATCTTTATTACATTTTCTAGCAAAACAAGGAACACAATCTCAGCATATGGCTGATGAGATTATGGCTGAAAAATGTCCTTTCACAGAGACAAGAGATCCATAAACATTCACTGACACAGAGAAGAAGTACATATACCCAGTGTCACTGAGAAATATACATTTTTCTATGAAAGTTTTTTTGTACATAGGACAATAATGTTTTTACCAACTCAAACATAAGAATTTCAGACATATAGTTTAAGTATATCAGCTGAGCTATATRGAACTTCTCTTCTGCCAGCTGATAGGCAATCTTGAAGAAGTCAGTTTTAACCTTAAGTCCCTATTAACAGTGATRGCACCAAGCTGTGTTGCATACCGGATGCATCATAGAACGGTGAGGTGAATGAAGTCTTCCTTTAATCCTTTGTCCTGAAAGCTGAKAATTAAAACACGTCTATCTACATGTCTATGTGACCTAGCAGTGAGGTGTTTTAGCACAATCCAGTCATCATTGTATTGAATCACTTTTCATTCGCTTCCATGAAGTTGTCAAGCGAAGGCAAAACGCTGCCTTAATTTGGCTCTCATGTAATGCAAGCAATATTTTATTGCAGATACCATTGACAAGAAAAAGTTTTGCTGCGCAGGCTCTCAGAAGAGGGAAGAAACCTAAATTACAACCTCTAAAGATGGAAGAGGAAAGAAATCCTGATTTTGGCCACTTTTTTGACAGCAGTCATGTATGTGAACACTATTGTAGATTTTTTTTGCCTGCATGATTCCCTTTGTGTTAGATCCAGAATTTGATCTGATATAGAGAGGACAGGAGGAGAAGGGCTTGGCAGTGACACCCATTGTGCATAAGCTGTCTGCTCAGCACAGTGATTTGAATGAAGATCTGAATATGTATGATGACAACCAAGAAGTAATGATTAGAATTAGGAACAAAGACTTTGTTA